AAATATATGAAAAATTGATGTGGGTATTCAAATGAAAGGTCTTGATGAGTGTAACATCAGGATTAGCTTATATCTTTAAAAAAGTCAATATTTAAGAAAGTACAGTGCAATTTAATAAAAGTAACTATTTAATAAAGCAAAATTTTATTTATATAGTTTTCAAATCACGGCAGTTATATAGTGACTGCAAGGCTGCTAGTTATTATTATTATTTTTTTATGAATAAATAAATGAATAATAAGGAAGAAAAAAAAGGGAGATAAATATTTATGAAAATATATATATATATAAATATATTGGTGAAGACTTTCAGCGACGGCAATTACCTCAGATTAAGATTGGTGTCCGATGTCAGGTTTCAAATGAATAGACGATCGTTTCATTTAGAAAAGATCTTTGTGGATGTAGAGCGACTAAAGGACCATCAGTTTTAATGAACGAGACATTTGAGCAACGGCTGTAGATGAAATGACAAAAAAATGAAAAAAAAAAAAAGTAGAATGAGATTATTGGAGTTAGAGGCTAATGATCTCGTTTCTCGTGACGATATCTGAGGAAGGTCGGCTTTTAATTTCGGGGCGATTAGATAACGTCGTGTTGATCCTTCCTGAGAGATGAGAGATCGCTCCGAGGTCGGAAGACGTAAATATATATTTGTCTATCAGCTGCTAACGTTGGATTAATATTAATCTACGGTTTTTGTTGTCGTTCTTCATTTGTCATTCTAGTTTTTAGGGCGGAGGGAATTAAATTCCTCATTTTTAAGAAGGTTTTTTTGGAATTAGAAAGATAATTTTTGAAGACATTTTTGGAGGTATAAAATTGTTGAAGGAAAAGTTGGTGGAGAAATTGGAAAACAATAAATTATGGATGAACAATATAACTGATTTCTAGGAATGATATACATCATTATTGTGAAAGTTTTCTTGCAATATAATTTAAATACTTTATTTTTTAAATTACTTTTATTATTATTATTATTAAAGTATTAAGAGTCTCCAAAAATCAGTCAAAACTTGATTTTTTCTAATTTTTTTACAGAATTTTGATAAAATAATACTTTAAAAAATTTTTTTTTCTGCCCAATTTAGAGAAAAAATTTTTCCAAGACCCTATATAAGATTTTTGGAAAATTCAAAATTTTTTACGGATCGCTAGAAGTCAAAATTTGACCAAAGCTCAAAAGTTACTTTTTAAAAATTTTTTCTTCCACTCAAATGAAGAAAAAAATTTTTTTCAAGGTCCTTAGCAGAATAAATTTGAAATAAAATATTTTTTGGCATCGTTAAGTTTCAAAAATTGGCCAAAACTTTTTACAACTATCATTAAAAAAAAATTTATAAGATTGTGTGATTTCAAACTTTCCTCCTGCAAATTCCAAATCAAACCTTATCGAATAAATTGCCAACCTTGCAAATAATTATCCTCAATTATAAACTCGCACAATCCCGTAGCTCGTCTCCCTAATTGTATTTATGATGGTATTGTCACCAAAAATAAATAAACAAAAGATCTCTATCTCCTTAACTCGAAATGTAGCTTCGAAAAAAGCGTTACAGTGTCTTTATTCCCGAAATTAACAGCTTAAGAATAAGAAGTACGTGTATGTAATTGTAGTGTCTCTATTACTTAAAACCGGTTCGGCGTAAAAAATGTCAGCCTGTATGTTCCCTGTTAGACGGGGTTACCTCCTTGAAACTACTTCATTATGTGTAAGCAGATCGAATCTCGATCTCCATCTCCGGCATCTGTAGAGTTTTTGCCGAACAACTAACAATTCCCCCGAAAATAATCGATCTCAAGCCTTTAATGCCGAGTTTTTGTCCCAGATCTGTATCTCGCTAAATATAAAGGACAGCCTGGAAATTTAGTGGCTGTTGCGTCAGAATGTGACAAACATACAACAATATCTAAAATTTCAGGACTCAATTACTCACGGAAGCAGTCACGCAGATGACGCTCACGATATCCTTCTACAGAGTGTACTTGCTGATCACCGAAGTCGGGCTCAGGAAGGTCTCGGACCCGGCGATGGTCCTCAAAGTCGGGCCCTGCTGCTGCTGGCCCTGTCTGCCCTTTCCCAGCCTCCAGTTCAACGACGCCAATTTGTCCTGGCTGAGAATTATCGTCCTCCAGTTCCCCATTGTCCAGGTACGGTTATTCTACAACACATTTACATAATAAGATGTATAATCAAGGATTAACATATATGCTAATAAGAAATCGCTGGGATGCTTTTAGGGAATGATATACATTATTTTTTTGATAATGCACCTCGAGGACCCCGTTGTTTATACCTCGTACAACGTTTTCTTCCAACCACTCTGTGTTGCAAGTATTCTTATGGCTCTCTATGGGATTAACATTGCTGCGATTAGTCTCAAACAGGTGAACCCAGGTGAGGAATGTTTTTAATACGACAATTTTACGGTTTACGATACTGCAATTTAGAATTTTATTTTTTTTTTTTTTATAGATTTTGGTCTTAAGGTTCCGAAAAAGTAGAAAAAATAGAGGAAATCTTCTTAATTTAATAAAAAAATTTTTTTAATTAATATTAAAGTTTCTTTTTGGAATTAATAATTATTCAAAAGCATTATTAATCATATAAAATAGACGTGATACTGTAATTTAAAATTTTATTTTTTTTTAATAGAGATTTTGGTCTTAAAGTTCTCAAAAAGAAAAAATATAGAGGAAATGCTCTTTAATTTAATAAAAAAATTTTTTAGTTAATTATTAAAGTTTTTTTTTGGAATTAATAATTATTCAAAAGCATTATTAATCATATAAAATACAAAATAAAAATGATTTAAATTGTCTATTACAATTTAAAGTGATGGCATTTTATGTATATTGTGTAAGTGGGTGGATTTTTGAACTATGAAAGAGTGGGCGCAACGAGCAAAGTGTGTGTGCTGAAACACGAGCGCAGAAAATTTCATTTTCGTAATTTAAATACAAAAAAAATGTATTTTATACAATTGTGTGTTAAAATACAAATTTTTAGAGGGGATAATACTTATTTCTAAAAAAGTGGGCATTCTTCAAATTTTTACTCTCTAAATTTATAAAAGTCATATAGAAGATACATCAACGAGAAAATTGTAGAAAAAAATAACAATACTGTTTACTTATAGTAGAAAATTTGTAATAATATCAACAAAAACGGGTCTAAAATTTACAGTTAGTATATTTTGAAATGAGACTGCAATTTAAAAAATTTAAAAATCAAACAACCCAAAACTTACATTGCATTCCGAACAAATTTCACGGCAGCCGGTCCCAAAAAACTTCTGGGTATTGACACAGGTGTAATAATTCCTTGCCTGTTTTAATTCCCTCGTAAGAACAACAATGACAATTAAAATAAGGTTTTACGTTTGTTTTCAGAAGGGAAGCTGCAGTTGAAGGCGCTGGTTACGCAGCTAGTCCTCTTTTTCTCAAAACTCCAGGCTACTGTTATTAAATTTCTTCCGGCAACTGGACTGTTCCCCTGCAATCCTCCAATCACTCCGCAGATGTATGCAAACTGTAAGTTGAAAACCCCTTTATTTATAATTTATAATAACAGTAATATCTAATGAAGTTATCTAAATAAATTCTACGAAGAATAGCAGTGAGAGTCCGACGACAGACGAACAAAGGCCGAGATTAATATTTTTGTAGCAAAATTTTAAGTAAAAAAAGGCCGTGATGACGGAGACCGTGATCCGGGTTAATCGGTAGGGTTAAGGCTACACAAAAGCTTGGGATCGGTGATCTCTCGGCTCATGTTACCTTCTCAATTTCAGTTACCTACAACGCGCTGATGCTAATCGAGATGTTGCTTCTTGGGTACGTCGCAGCCTTCGTCTACAGAGAGGACGTCAGCGCCACTAAATCAACGACTGTTGACGAGCCAACCCTACAAACAATTACCACAATCAATCTTGGCAGCCAGATCAACAAGCGGCCGATCAATGTTAATCAGAATTGCAACCAGCGAGCATAAAAAATTTTTTTCTGACGAAAAAAATTTTATTGGTTCAAATAAACCTTTTTTTTTTTTTATGTGTAAGGACAAGATAAGCAAAGACACGTGGCTCACATTTTTATGATACGGTTCGTATTAATTTAACGTGTACTTTGGGTCTTGTCCTTTTCTTTATGCTACGTGTCGCGTACCTGGTATTATATCTGGTATATGTGGATGTAAATGTAATATAATGTATGTACATAACAGTTTATTCTGACTCTGAACCCATTCGAGGACAGATATGTCGAGGTGAAGATCCGTTGACATTTATTCTTTTTTGTGTCACGGTAGTTGTTTTTTTTTTTTTTTTTTTTTTTTTTTTTTTTTTAATTTATTCTAAGGTTAAATTCTGGAATTTTAGGCTACTGTTTTATTATTTTAAACTTTAAAAATAATCATAGCTGTAAATAATTAATTAAATTTTGAGAAAAGAATTTTAAAAATTGAAGATTTAGTTTTGTTCAAATTAACTTTTGAAGAGGTGGTTTGAAAAAGTTTTTAAAATTTTCTAAATATTTTAAGCTACTCAAAAAATAATTTTTCACTTCTTTCTAAGTACCTGAACTGTAAAACTAATAACTAAACCGATTACTCATTACAAATAATTCCTAACTTTAATTCTGTCCAAAGAATACAGTTCTGCGTTAAGTTGACACAACTGTTCTTCAAAATCAAGTACAAAAGTTAAATTATTATAAATAACAAATGAATTCTATATTGTTAAGGCGGGTATTGTTGTATTATACAATAAAAAAAAAAAAAAATAAAATAAATTTGTTGGCTTTTCAGCGTAGGCATTAATGTTTTAAATATGGTGATGAGGGGGAGGCATGTGTGAAATCTCGAGTCACGGTGAATGAAGAGTCCTATCCTTCCTATCGTACACCCAACATAATATAACTTCCAAGACGACCACGTGCCAGGCACTTGGTAAGTGTAAACAGACATCGGAATGCATTATCGTGACGGCCGCTGACGAATCACACATGCTTCTTCTATTCCTCTTCTGTTTGACGGCTGATGGCTCGCTGCCCATTTCAAAAATAAAAAACAAACTTCGGGCTTGTATTTACTCAGCCAGAGAAAATATATTGTAATAACAACACAATTGTTAGCTCAAAAATCGAATTTTTATGGAAATTTAACAGTTAGTTCTAAAATTCATGGTTTCTTTTTTTAGTGTGACCTCAATTACTCCTGCAATATTGAAGGGAGTTCAATGAAACTAAAGGGGCTTCTTTTTCAAGTAATTTGAAGGGGCTAGCTTCAATCTTCAATCAGAACCAAAATTGGTTGATTAGTTTAAAAATGGAGGGTATTATCCATTTTTGAAAAGTGAAAAAAATCATTTTTTCCCCCTAAATTTTTTTCTTCAATAATTCTTTAATTAATCATTAATAATTAATTATTAACTCTAAATTATAAAGAATTAACTCTAATCATGATATTTTATGATTATTAATAGAGTTTATTCTCTTAAAAACATATTTTGATCAATTTATTATTAAATTAATTATTGATTATTAATTTTTGCCAATATTAGGCAAATATTTATATTTAATAAGCAGTATAGGATTATTAATTGTTGATTATTAAATAAAAATCATAAATTACAAATAATTTAAATAAAAAAAGCCCAGATTTAATTTTTTATTTCTATAAAAGCAATTAATTATTCCTCCAGTAATTATCGGTTACTTTGTCCAGGTTAAAAAACAGTTATACCTTTTTTTATCTGAAAAATTTCTATATTTATGAAATCTTGGTACAAGTAAAAGCCCGAGTTAAATTTATCGAGCGCATTGAGCCTCTGAAAAGGGATCGATAAATAAAAAACACACATAATATGCCCAAAGGTAAAAAAGTTATTCCGTTGAGGTGCATTCATCATACACATTAGACCGGGGCTTTCTCAATTCTCATTCGCGTTTATACATTATATTTTATTGAATTATATTATACATAATGTATAATACTGTATATAAAGTATAAAGTATAATATATAATACTTTATCCGGGAGCAGCTCTAGTGGCATCTGTGTGATCCGGTAGTGATTCATGGCCCCGTATTCCGATGGAGGCTTTCAAATTCAAAGGGACCCTCCCTCTACTTTATACTCTTCTGGCGCTGAATGGACCGATCTACGTCAAATCCACCGTACACATACCTACACACAACATCCGAAGCCCGTAAATACACAAGGGGATTATTTGGTGCGCATCCAGCGTACAGTGTTGATTTTTTGACTTAGCGTATCGTGAAAAGCTCCCGCCAGCACTGCAACAAGATTTGGCTTACGTCATTCGCTTCTTTGTGTATTATCGTCATCCAGATCGCGTTATTACGACGTTTAGTCTTTTCTTCTTTCCGGGGAGTTTTATTCTAAATTCAAAGACTCCTATCAACCAAAAATTTTATAATATTTCCTTACTATTGCTCTTCAATTCATTTAACACAATGCAAAAAAGAAGATTCAATTTTTCTATAAAAATCTTATCAATTTTGACCTATTTTTCTTCTTTTTTTTCTAAAACTTGAGTTTAAAATTCAAAAATTAAGCTTTAGAATTTATCCGTCATTTTCAAAAGTTTATAATTATAATTAAAAATAAAATATTAAAGATCAAAAAAAATTATAAAGGGCCTTTCTTAAAGAGGATTAATTTTTTAATTAATTTTGCCCTATCTCTCATATTTTTGTCCAAAATTTGAATTTTAAGTTCAAAAATGAAGCTTGAGAACTTATTTGTAGTTCCTAAAAGTTTAGAATGCTAATTATGGCTTAAATATTGAAGATAAAAAAAAAATTGTAAAGGACCTTTATTATAGAAGATTGAATTTTTACAAAAAAAAAGTCATCAATTTTGTCCTATCTATATTTTTTTCTCCAAAATTTGAATTTAAAGTTCAAAAATTAAATTATAGAACTTATCTTTCGTTTTCAAAAGTTTTAAATGCTGGTTATGGCTAAAATATTAAAGATACACAATTATAAAAGACCTTTCTTAAAGAAGATTAAATTTTATAATTAATTTTGCCCTATCTCTCATATTTTTGTCCAAAATTTGAATTTGAATTTCAATAATAAAGCTTTAGAACCTATTTGTAGTTTCCAAAAGTTTCAAATGCTAGTTATGACTTAATTAAAGATAAAAAAGCACCATAAGGACCTTTTTTATAGAGTATTAAATTTTCTACGAAAAAAGTCCTGATCAATTCTTCCCTATCTTATTTTTGTCCAAAATTTGAACTTGAATTTAAAAAATGAAGTTTCAAAATTTATCTATAGTTCCCAAAAGTTTAAAATGCTAATTATGGCTAAAATATTGAAGATAAAAAAAATACAAAGGACCTTTCTTAAAGAGGATTCAATTTTTTATAAAAAACGTCATCAATTTTACCGTACCTTTAATTTTTGAAAAATAATTTTGAAAATAAAGTTTTACCGTCTTGCAACTATCAATATTTAAATTTTTAAAATTATAATAATAATAATAATAAAATTTTAAATACATATTTTCATCAAAAACTCAACAACGATCCTCAAATAATCTACCTACCCAAAAAAAGGCGTCTTGTTAGTAATTATTTATTTGTTTCAATATACAAGACTTCTTTCCGTAGGTTTATAAATAAACCCGAATTATTTATGAGCAACATCGAGACAATCCGACATAAAACCCTAGATCTTCTGTCACGACAATCTCTTGCGATAGATTGAGTCCTGATTCCCGATTAAATGCCTGAAAACCACAGAACTAACCAAGATAAAAAATAAAATAATCATAGAAGTAAATAGGAGATGATATCCCGTGATACCTCAACGTTTACTCAGAATTTAAAATTTTATTCTCCATAGCTCAGGACAGGATAGGAAGGAGTCCAGTTGATGACGGACCTTTCAGAAACGTGACGCTCCTGAGATTTATCTCCAAGAGCTAGCAATAGTTATGGCTCTACTTTTCTGCTTCCCATTCTTCCTTTTTATTTGTGTTTTTTTTCTTCTATTTGTATTCCCGGGTCTTGTATTTAATTCTTCTCTTTCTTAATATTATTATTATTATTATTCATCAATCAGGTCGAGTCCGGAATATATTCTACCTGCTTAGCTGGAGAGTCCAGGTAAGGCTAAGGCCCAATCTGGCGATCACAATTCAAATTCTTAGACCAGGCGTAAAAGTTTAATTTTAAATTATTACAATACATGTTTGGTAAAATGAATTTCTATAGTTAAATATATTATCACGGACAATTAAACAAACGCAATGACCCTTCCAGAACAACAAAGGGTTACTCATCAAGGGTTCCTTGATATTCAGAAACTTAAACGATTATATTTTGTATTTTTATTCCCGTCGGAAAAAATATAAAAAATTTTTTTCGGCTGAGATATTTATTTGAAACATTATATATAATATAAAATAATAGATGAATAAAAACGGCGGGTCTTTGAAGGCCAGTTCACGGTCTAATTGAATTTTCCGAATGAAAGCTCCGTGGGATTATAACTCCGGAAGAATAAAAAACTAAATTACCTTTTTTCCGAACGAGCTAACTCGACTACGGCTAGGTTCTTCAACAAAGTAGTTCATAGGAGCTCTGTAATTATTAACCACAGGGTAATTAACAGTCAACAAATTACAGCCCCTACGAACCACCTCTGCAACACGGATCGTGGTTTGTAGTTAATGATCTAACGATGATATTTTATTTTTCTCTTTGAGATAGAGTTTGTATCTCACGGACGATTAGAAGCCAAAATTGGGATTTTAGTCGTGGAGAATAATTTCTTTTTTTGGTTTTTAAGTTTCTATTTCATGGTTTTATCGTTTTGTTCAAGCTTTTGGTCAATTAATAATTTTTTTTTCTTTAATTTTTAGCGATTTTTTGAAGAAATTCTGGTCAAAAAAATTTTAAGAAAATTTTTTAAGCTTGATAGAAAAAAAATAAGAAGCATTTTTTGAACTTATTTTTTT